TGCACGGTGGACGTTACCATTACTGGTGGTGGGGTTATTCAAGGAGCTGGTATGAGTCAGGCATGTACACAGCCCCTGGCTTTGAGAACATGCTCAGAAGAAGAGGGTTAGCCAGCACCCCTATTAGCTGTGTTGGAGGGCTGTAACTGGGGCCAGGTGTCCCCTCGGCGCAAAGCCATATCCTGGAATGTAGCCCACACAGGTGGCATCTGAGGTGTGGCTCCCCTCAGGGCCTGCATTTAGTGGGGTGCACGCAGCTGCCCTGGGGACCTACGGTATAGTATCTGGGACCCTGCCAGCCAGATGGCGCCATGCTGTGGGTGCAGAAATTGAGCTGAAGGCAGTGTGTTTGCAGCGGCGGCGGCGGCGTATGGAGGTGCTGAGTCTGCCAGGCTGGCCTCCTGGGATGGGAGGGGACCCTCCTGGGATGGGAGGGGACCCTGGGGTCTGGACGTCTGTGGGATGAGCCTGAGATGTGCAGCTGGGTGAGTGTGTCCTGGGCTGGGTGGGCAGAGAGGGGCATGTGGCCAAGCAGGTGTGTCTCTGTGTGACTATAGGAGAGAAGGCGGGGAAACTGGGGAGGGATCTAAATGATGGCGCTGATAACTAATGCCTCCACCCGATGTTCACTGAGCACCTACCCTGTGCCAGGGAACCAAACTGTGCACAAAACAGATGCAGTCCCTGCCCTCGGGGAGCTTACACTCAAGTGTGTGGGCTTCTAAGAGGTCAGAGGGTAACAAACGCAATATAGACAAAGCAGAGAAGGTTCTGGTGTGGGGTAGGGGTGCTGTGAGATGCAAGGAGGCCTCACTGAAAAGACCTGAAGGGCAAAGACCTGAAGGAGGACAGGGACGCCTGAGGATGAGCGGTCCAGGCAGAGGGAAGAGCACGTGCAAAGGCCCTGAGGCAGGACCGTGCGCGCCATTCCAGAAACAGTGAAGAGGCCAGTGTGGCCTGAGGTGGGTGGGTGAGCGGGGTTAGGAGCAGCCCATCCTGGGGAGAGGGGTCTGCTAAACCTCGGTGAAGTCTCTGCCCTTAAACCCCTTGAGACAGGGTGTGAGAGCTGTTTAGTGGAGGAGGGGCAGGATCTGACTTGGATGCTGTCAGGACCCCTCCAGCTGCCTGTGAGAACCGTCTGGGAGGGAGAGCGAGAGTCAAAGTGGGGAGACCACTGAGGAGGCAACTGTGATCATCTAGGGGAGATGGTGGCGGGGATGAGAAGTGGTCAGATCTGCATTTTTTGTAAAGAGAGAGCCATTTACTGAGCCAGTCCCCGAGTGGCCCCATGAGATAGATACTATTATTATCCCTCTTTCACAGCATTTTTCTGCAGCTCAGAAAAATGAAGTCACTGGCCTAAGGTCACACAGCAAACCAACAGCAGATCCAGGACTGAAACCCAGGCCCCCTGGCACTTGATCAATGTGCTCTGTTACCGCTACTTGTCTTTCGGGGCCTGTGGATGTTGGGTTTGGAGGGTGGGGGTAGCGTTCGTCAGCATCTACACCAGTGTCTGCACACAGTAGGGACGCAGAAAATATTTGTTGGATGGATGGATGGATGGATTAAAATCGATGAACAGAATGAATGGAAGAGGCTGCCCTGCCCATTTTGCAGAAGTGTATCAGGAGGCGGATAGCAGGATACGGCTGAGGTCCAGGGCAGAGGGCTGCATCTGGGGATGGGGTTCTTTGTGGCATGAACAGGGGTTGGCCCTTGGCTGAAGGACTGGGGTGACGGTGACATGGGCCCAGGTTCGCTGGTGTATCAGGGGTGGAGGTTAGAGTGCCTGGTTGTGCGGTGTGGTGGGGGGCTTTGGGGGGCTCCTAGGGTCCTGGGGGAGTGCCTGCCTGCAGAGGAGCCCGCGCTAGGTTGTCTGCACTCGGGCTGGGGGGCAGGTGCACGAGGCGGGGTGGGTCAGCGCTGGCCCAGCCTGGTTATGCGGCCGATGAGGTTGTCTGTGCCAGGAGGCCAGGCCTGGAACAGCCCAGACACCCACCCCCACCCCCTTCCCTGGGCAGCCCAGCCTTCAACCTTCCTCCCCGACTTCCCCGCCCTTCCCCGGCTGCCCAGAACCAATGGGTTAATTAGATAACAGAGCCTTTGATTAACGGGGGAGGGGGAGGCCTCCAGCGCTGAGAAGGGGGGCTGGAGGAGGAGGGAGGAGAGGCGCCCTCCCCGCTCAGGAGGCGAGAAAGGAGGGAGGGGTGGGGAGGGAGGGAGCTGAGGCACAGCTTGGCTCTGCACTGCCGTGTGACTAGAAATTGTAATCGCGGAGAGAGAGAGACAGACAGAGCCCGGCCGAGGGAGACGGAGACAGACAGACGGACAGACAGACAGAGAATCCGACCGAGACGGGCTCCCCGACCTACCTGCGAGAGGGTGATGGGGACGGAGACAGAGTGAGGAGGAGATGGAGAAGGAGTGGGGGGCCTGGTGGTCCCAAGGCTGGCGAGACAGTGAGGGGGGGCCTGAGGGGGGGCGGGGCGCAGAGGCAGAGGGGCAGGGAGAGAGCAGGGGGCTGAGGCCGGCGGGGGTGGGGGAGAGTGGAGGTAGAGGGTAAGAGACTGGAGGAGGCGAGCAGGGAGGGCGGGAGACAGTTGCTGCAGTGGCCTAGACGGGCCTGCGGGGGGCGGGGTGGGAAGGGCGACAGGCGAGGAGGGGGGGGCGCGGGGAGACCCCAAAAGCCCCTGCGCCCCCCCCAGCACAACCTCGACGGGAAGCCCTGGAGAACTGGGGAGGCAGAGCCCCCGGCGGCTGGAGGCATGTGGAGGGGGGGACCTGGGGCGCAGGGAGAGGCCCAGCGGAAGCCGAGCCACTGGGGTGAGTGTCGCTCTGTGTGGGGGGAGACAAGGATGGAGATGGCGGAGGGCGACGAGGGAGGGGAGGGAGGCCCAGGCTCTGCAGAAGCCATCCTGGGGGAGGGGGGGCAGTGGTGCGGGCTGGCAGCAAGCGAGATGGGGACCGAGGCGGAGGTAGAGACACAGCGGCGGCGGGTCTGGACCTGCGGTGGGCGCTGCGGGCTCCCACCGCCCGAGCGGCATCCCGGTCTGGGGGTTCCCCGGCCTCGAAGGCTGGCCCCCTTGGGCTGCGCCGGCCCTTGGCTCCGAGGGTGTGGGCTGGCTTATCACCAGTGTCTTGAGGTGGGAACGGGACAGGGACAGAGCGTAGCGCTCCCTGTCACTCAGGGGTATGCAAAGACGCCACCGCCCTCACAGACCGCATAGATAGAGGCGCTCACAGCCCCCAGCCCTCCAGGCAGAAAAATGAGTCTGGAGTGTAGACACAGGACCAACCCTCCCCCTATCCCACCCCCATCTCTCTCTGTCTCTGTCTCTGTGTCTCCGTCTAGCTGTTGCTCTTCCCCTCACACATGCGTTCAGACACACAGACATGCGCACATGTCTTTTTATCTGAGTTAAAATGATGTTGGAAACCGCGGGAGGGAGCGTGTGTGTGTGTGCGCGAGTGCGTGTGCGGGGCGGTGGGGAGGCCCGGCGGCCCTGTGTCCGCGGGTCTGGGAGTGCGAGGGCGCGCCCCTGTCACCGCTGTTGCTGTGCGTGTTTGTGCAGACGGCTCCTCTGTCCCCCTGTTCGCCCCACTCGTGGGGAACTCTTGGGTCGGCCGTGTTGGAGCAGAGCTCGCGGGCGTGGGCGCGTTTGTGTGCGCTCGAGGCGGAGACGCTGCGTGGAAGGGTTAGGGTTGGGAGCCCGAGGGGTAAAGCCAGGACCGCAAACCCCTTCTGTCGCTACCCAGCCAGCTCCGTGCTCCTCAGCGGCCTCATCTGTCAACTGGGCATCCTAACAGCTTCCTCCTGTGGCTCCCAGGAAGCTTAAACAAGCGTGTGCAGGTCTGGCGCAGAGAAGGGGCACACTCGCAATTCAGGAGCCATTATTATGGTTGTTGTTTTCATTGTTACTGTCATGACTGGCCCATCCCCCTCTCCGTCTCTGGTCCTGTGGAAACGCGGGTGGGAGGACCTGACCCCCACGCTGCCCACTCCCCTCCCAGAGCTCAGGCTCAGGCTCTCCGGCCCCCCAGCCCCTTCTCCAGCGGGCGGGCAGGCCCAACACCATCCTGCGTGTAGCAGCCGCTAGCACGGACCCACCAGCTGCCATCGTGGCCTCGAGCACCTGCCACCCTCGACCTCCTCCTCCCCCGTTATCGTCTCCGGTGTCCTCCCTCCGCAGCTGCCTCACCTGCCCACACCCGGCACCTCCCCCCTTGCCTTGTCTGGCACCTCACCTTCTCCTTCAAATTCCCCGTTTGAGTCTAACTCAGATCCCTCCAGCCGCTGCCGCCGCTGCCACTGCTTCAAGGCGCATGGACCACGGGTGATGGCAGGGAGTCTGGGTTGCTGGGAAACTTGGCCTCTACAAACACTCCCTGAAGCGAGAAGTGATGGGGGGGGGGGCGTCCAGGAGGCTGGTCCCCTCCCAGAAGTGCATGCAGGTGGAGAGGGGACTTGGGTGGCTGCTGGGACGGGAGCCAGATCCTCATTGCAACTTCCCGGCTTGGCTTTTCACCTCTTCTCTGTCACTTATGTCTTGCCTGTCTTGTCTCTCACTCCATCTCGACCTATTTATGTCCCTTTTTGAAATCATGCAAAGAACCAAGTTTTTTATCTGGCCGACGTCTCCACTTGCCGGCCAAGCGCCCCTGGGTGAGCACTTCCTCTCCCCCAGACTCAGTTTTCTGTTCTGCGAAATGGGCATAAAGTCTTCCCAGCACAGAGAGGGTGAGATGAGTGTAGGGTGCACAGGGCCAGCCCTCCTCTCTGCCCCCCTCGTCCTGCCCTGCTGGGCCCTCATCATCAGGGGTGGCCTCTCCCTCCACAGGGGGTCTGCAGGAGTCTTGCCCCCTTGGGTCCTAAGCCTGGGCAGGGAGGTGATGGTGGTGGCAGCAGAGGCAGAGAGCGGCCTGGATGTCGGGGAGGAGCTGGGCCACTCGGGGGGTCCCCGTCCCTCACTGAGCCTCTCCCTCTCTCTCCCTGACAGCCCCCCGGCGCCCAGGCGGAGCATGAACATTGAGGATGGCGCGTGCCCGCGGCTCCCCGTGCCCCCCACTGCTGCCCAGTAGGATGTCCTGGCCCCATGGGGCCCTGCTCTTCCTCTGGCTCTTCTCCCCACCCCTGGGGGCCGGCGGGGGCGGCGTGGCCGTGACATCCGCCGCCGCAGGGGGCTCCCCGCCGGCCACCTCCTGCCCCGCGGCCTGCTCCTGCAGCAACCAGGCCAGCCGGGTGATCTGCACAAGGAGGGAGCTGGCCGAGGTCCCGGCCAGCATCCCCGTCAACACGCGGTACCTGAACCTGCAGGAGAATGGCATCCAGGTGAGCCGGGCTGGCAGCCCAGGGGGGTGGGGGAGGGGCCCAGGGGGTGGCCAGTCCCCCCTCCCTGAGCTGGCAGAGCCTCCTGGGCGTCCCCACCAGCTCTTCACGCCCATACCCTGGGCACTTATGAGATGCTGTTTGCATCCTGGTCACTTGAGCCGAGGCTGTCTGGGTTTTCTCGGCACAAGGCTCCCTGTGTCTGTACCAGCACACTGGGCCCCAGGGCAGGACCATCTGCCCTCCTCCCACAGCACGGCACAGGTGAGCCCTCAGCCTGGCCCCGGAGCCACAGGTCGTGCTGGGAGTGACCCTTCCCTGAGGCCCCTGTGCCACCTGCACCACCGCACCTGCCGCGTGGCGTTGGCCACACATGATGCATGACTCTGCCCCTCAGTTTCTTCATCTGGAAAATGGCGATGATATGATCCCTGCCCCAAGGGGCTGGTGCGAGGGCTGATGGGTGTCACACTTGTCAAGGATTTAGAATCGCTCTGGCCCCGGGTGAGCGCTTATATGCTGTGTGGTACGGGGATCACATCCCCACTTGCCGGAGTCGGTGTGACAGCCCTGTGCTCCCCAGTACCTGGCTGGCACTCGGACAGGGCAGCTGCCATCCGATTATAATTGTCATTAAGATGGGCCGTGGGCTTCCCTGGTGGCGCAGTGGTTGAGAGTCCGCCTGCCGATGCAGGGGACACGGGTTTGTGCCCCGGTCCGGGAATATCCCACATGCTGCGGAGCGGCTGGGCCCGTGAGGCATGGCCGCTGAGCCTGCGCGTCCGGAGCCTGTGCTCCGCAACGGGAGAGACCACAACAGTGAGAGGCCCGCGTACCGCAAAAAAATGGGCCGTAAGTGATGCTTTGGGGGCAGAGCTGTGCTATTTTGAAGCAGGGTCTCCCCCGCTCTGCTTTATTGACGCTGGGGCTGGATCACCCTCAGTGGGGTAGGGGAGCGGGCACCCTGTGCACTGTAGGGCGTGGGGCAGCATCCCCAGCCACTAGAGGCCAGTAGCATCCCGCCCCCCAGTTCCAAATGTGTCTCCAGATGTTGCCAGATATTCCCTGGGGAGGGAGGGAATTTCCTCACCCCCACCCCCGGTTGAGAAACACTGGGTTTTTTTTTTTTTGAGCCTGGGCCACCACAGTGCAAGCGCTAACCGCTGGTCCACCAGGGAATTCCCCTGACCTCCAGGTCTTTAAAGCTGCAGCCAGCAACCCCTCCTCCTGCAGCCACCACCCCCTTCCCCCATCCAGTTCCGCCCCCCACGGCCCTCAGCATTTAACACAATGCCCGTTTACTTCTAGACAGAGGCCTGGAGTGTGAGATCAGGGAGGGCGCGTGTGGCTGTCAGTTTTACTCACTGATGTGTCCCGAGTGCCTAGACTATGGCCTCCCACGTGTAAGACAACCAAGAGACGCTGAACAGACCAAAGCACTAAGGGGGAGGACGGAGATGCTGGGGCGCTTGGGGCCCAGAGAGGAAGATGGTGAGGGGAGGTTTGCCTGCGGGACCCCAGGACCCAAGAGAGGTGTATTCAGGCAGAGGGATCGTCTGAGCAGCCCCTCAGGGCTGGGAGGGGGACTGGTTATCACAGAAGAGGCTGGACTTCATTCCACAGAGTCCAGGGGGGCTCTGGAGGGCTTTAGGCAGAGGGCACCATCAGGCTTGTGTGGTGGCCCCTGGGAGGATGGGTTGAGTGTATGCCGTCAGGGGGTGGCGGAGCTGTGGCGCCAGTGTCGCTTGGTCGCTGTCACATGTCAGCCAGTGCCCTGCCCTGGACTGGGGCACGGGCACCTAGTGCAGTGCCGGCCACTGAGCAGCTGTTGGTGGGACTGAATTGTTCAGTGAGCCCCCCCAAAGAGAAAACGGCCCAGTTCCTCCAAAGGGATGCTGCTGGTGGTGTGAACTCAGCGGCTCCTCGTCGCAGACGCGATTCTTGATGCTCTAACCTCCCCGCTTCCGGTTCCCATTTCCCGGTTATCCCAGCCTGGCGTGCCATCCTGTTTATTGGTGGACTGCCTCTTCCCTTCTAGAATGTAAGCCACTCAGGGCCAGGGAAGGGCTTTGCCCAGAGCTGGTCCTAGCAGCATCTGTGGACTCTCACATGAATACACAAAGGATGCATGGGGTACCGGCAACAAGGGCGCAGGTGTATGGCGAGAATGAAGGGAGGGTGTCGCCCCCTAAAGGGAGGCATGGACAGAGCAGCTGAGACTGCGGCTTGATGTGTGTGAGGCTGACTCAAACCACACGAGCAGAAAAGGTAGCCTCTAGGTGGAGGCAGCTGGTGAGGTGGGCCTGGAGCCCGGGGACACAGTCCTGCAGGGGCAGGGGCGTGGTGATGTGACGCAACTCCAGCTTCAGTGGTCCTTGCCCCACGGCCACCCAGGAAGGGACAGCCTTGCCCTTGGCATTGACCCCCTAAGAGGTCCCCTCTCTGCCCCCACAGAGGGGGGCTCTGGTCCCTAGGCTGTCCAGGACAGTCAGATGGGGGCCCTGATCCCTTCCTCTTCCCCAGGGTCAGACCAGGATGTGCAGTGGGGGAGGGGAAGTTTAGCTCGGAGCCCTCTTCTCTCCTGGTTCTATGGGCTGGGATAGGAGAGGCCTGCATGGGGACAGGGGATTGACCAAATGCCTTTAAAACAGTGGTTCTCTGGGAGCTCCCTGGCGGTCCAGTGGTTAGGACCCGGTGCTCTCACTGCTGGGACCCGGGTTCAATCCCTGGTCGGGGAAGTAAGATCCCGCAAGCCGCTCGGATCCGCCAAAAAAAAAAAAAAAAAAACAGGGAGGGCGGGGGGCCTCATGGAGAAGGTGACATCTGAACAAATGTTTGGAGGAGGTGACGGTGGGAGCCTTGTGGGGCATTCCAGGCAGGGGGCAGCAGGTGCAAAGGCCCTGGGGTAGAGCCTGCCTGGTGTGTAGGAGGAAAAGCCACGAGCCTGGCGTGGCTGGAGTGGAGTGAACTATGGGGAGAGGGCAGGGGGTGAGGACAGAGGTGGGACAAAGGGGCCTCGTGGTCATGGTGAGGACTTGGGCTCTTCTCTCCATGAGACAGGAGCCAGGGGAGGCTCTGAGTAGAGAATAGACGGGCTCTGACTTGAGTCTCTCTCTGGCCAAGGTGTGGGGACTGTAGGGGCAAGGGCGATGGCAGAGAGGCCTGTTCGGAGGCTGGTGCAGAGTTCACGAGAAAGAGAGACTGGCGGCCCCAGGTTGGCCCAGACTGGTTGCGGTGGAGGTGTGGGGAGCAGACAGATTCTGGGTCTGTTTTTTGGTGGTGTTTTTTGTTTGTTTGGTTGGTTGGCTGGTTGGTTGGTTTTTTGGCTGCGTTGGGTCTTTGTTGCTGTGCACGGGCTTTCTCTAGTTGCGACAAGGGGTAGCTACTCTTCATTGCGGTGAGCGGGCTTCTCTTGTGGAGCACGGGCTCTAGGCATGCGGGCTTCAGTAGTTGTGGCATGCAGGCTCAGTTGTTGTGGTGCACGGGCTTAGTTGCTCTGCAGCATGTAGGATCTTCCCTGACCATGGCTCGAATCTGTTTCTCCTGCACTGGCAGGTGGATTCTTAACCACTGCAACACGAGGGAAGCCCCTGGGTCTGTTTTGAAGGTGGAGACTGCAGGATTTTCCAGCAAAGTGGATATGGGAAGAGAAGGAGAGAGGATGACTCTGTAGGTCTGAGTGGACCCCTTGGTTGGACCTGTCTGTTCGTGTGTCTCTCACCCCATCTCCCAGGCCACTGGTCTCCAAACGATGTGACCCACATCCCTGTCAGAATATACATATATGAATTTTATTACTAAAGTCATGCAAAGGTCTACAGCATCCATGGATCATGTATATTATAAAGCTTGCACAAAAATGGCCACGTTAAAGGATGGGAAGCATGTCTTGAAATCCTAACACTTTCGTTTCTCACCCCTGGGGATTCTTGCAGCCCCCTGCTCTGGAGACCTCCGACCCCACCCCACCCCCCAGACTGCACATTCCCTGAGGCCAGGGAATGTCCAGTCTGCAAAAGTGAACGATTCAAAATGTTCAATGGAATCTTCCTCCCTCGGTGGACACCTCACAGATGCGGGAGGAGTGGGGCCGCCATTAGAGGGGTTTTACCAAATAACATTTTAATTATCCAGATAAGAAATGAAAAACTCACCCCTGGTCCCACTACCTAGATATACATAACTACTGTTTACATTTTGTTTTAAAGCCTTCCTGGCTCTTTTCTGTGCCTATGTAAATGTGGTTTTAAATGATTTATTATAGAATGAATACAAACTAATTTAGAAAAACTAGAAAAGATACCTAAGTAAGAACACAGGGACAAAAGCCAAGTGTAATCCGACAACCACAGGTAACTCCCATTAACATTTGGTGTCTTTTTATTCAGAGACTCTGCATGCACACCTCTGTGTGCACGACAGGGTTGGGTCTCTAAATGGATGTTTTGTTTTTTTAAAAAAAAAAAAAAGAAAAAATGGAATCACCCCATTTCTTACTGGCTGGCAACTGGCTTTTGGCACCTAGGAGTTCAACCATGAATATCTTTCTCCCTGATTCTGATACTTGTCTATTATGTGGATTTTAATGACTGCATTGGATTCCGATGCATGAGCATCCAGTTAATTAACTAGTCCCATCTTATTTCCAGTGTTTTATTTTATTTTATAAATTTGTTTATTTATTTTGGGGTCTTCGTTGCTGCTCACGGGCTTTCTCTAGTTGCGGTGAGCAGGGGCTACTCTTGGTTGAGGTGCACAGGCTTCTCATTGCGGTGGCTTCTCTTGTTGAAGAGCACAGGCTCTAGGGGTATGGGTTTCAGTAGTTGTGTCACGCGGGCTCAGTACTTGTGGCTCGCGGGCTCTAGAGCGCAGGCGCACGTTGTGGCACACGGGCTTAGCTGCTCCGCGACATGTGGGATCTTCCCGGACCAGGGCTCGAACCCGTGTCCCCTGCATTGGCAGGCGGATTCTTAACCACTGTGCCACCCAGTGTTTTCCTTGAT